CGACAGCACATAGACAGATGAACAAGACAAAGAGGACAGTTATCTTGGAAACTAGACCTTTCCCCATTGTATTTTCAGTACAGAAAGATTTTACAGTAATAACCAAAATCATTTTGGCATAGAAGAATCTTTGAAAATAAACAAATTTTTATTCAGAAATGATTAGCACAACTTCCAATTTTAAGCTTTTCATCATGCAATCAGTGGAAATCTCCATGCATGGCTCCATGCAACACAGAGTCAAAGTATGAGGCCTACTTTCTACCCAATTTTTACCAGGTTCACTGAAATATGTAGAAATTACAGATTGTATAATGTATTTCTATAATTCTGAACCTCAGTGGATAGGTCTAGTTAGTTTTAAAGACTTTGGCTTCCTGACAAATTCTTGTGGGGTGGAAAGTAATGTTTTCTCTTCATTTACCACATCAAATCATACTATCCTCCAGTTTGTTCAGACTGCTCATTGACTATCAAATTAGCAACTTTGGCCCCACATACAGGCTGGAGATTTTCATTGGTTGAAAAATTTGTTAAACAAAAGTCATGTTTCAGATTTACAACACAACAGTACATAGGCCCCTATTACTCCCTAGGCCTATTTTTTTATTTTATTAACATTTACTGTTGGGCTGTTATCAGAAGTAGGAAAGGCCTACTGTGTTTGTACAGCGTGAGCTGTTTCCAGACCTGCTGAGTACAATAAAGTGTCAAAATACATCTCAGATGTGCAACAATCCAGAAAACGGTCTCACAGGAGTGTTCTTCGTCTGTTCATTACTGCTACAAGTTAAGAAACCAAAGGAACCCCTTTAAAATCCCAGCCTGCATGCCTGACAGTCACTGTGGGGCGGCCATGTTTAAATGCAGGGTGCACTTTACCACAACAAAAGCAGTGTAAAATCAACAAAGCCAAGCCCAAACTTGTGGAGTTTGTAATACAGAAATCTCGTTATCGTCTCTACCGTCATTTCTCCATTTATTTTTAATTGTTGGATGGTAAGCCAGTCTCAGTTCTCACCTTTAAATTCACCTCCTGTGAAGTCACATTTGAACAAACCCGCCAACTTGATCACACATGCGTTCTTGTGCGTAGGCATTGTAATGCTAATGCTCGCGCCACCGTGGAAAACTGATCGTCGATCAACTTGCACACATATTAAGCAGGTAACCAAACAGGGGATAAAACAGCGCTGGTGATTGGCGCGCTTGAAATAGGCCCTATCAGTGTGCACAAGTACGACGAAGATCTGAAGATTATGCAGTTATTATTTTTTTCGTAATGTAGATCAAAAGAATGACCACTATTGCAAAGAGAAAAAAAAGCATTTCCCAAAACTGTATGCGAGCAATTTGCATCAATATAAAAAACCAAAGCCTGGACAAACGCAACCATCTGAGGCTTGGGCTTCCAGAGCTACGGCTGGGTCTATTGTCTACGCGTCTCCACGCATTTCCAATGGAGCGAAGTTCTATACCTAGCTCTTGACAAGAGATTCGGATGCAACCGTAGTTTACATCTTGACCGCAACACACACCATGACGTCAGACTACAGTCAGTCGTATAAAAGATGCTATACGAGACGTTATCTACCAAAAATCATCAAAGTTACGTCCGAAATTCTGGGGATTCTAGCTAATTATACCTTTTTCAGGTTGCAATATAATGCCTCCTGAAGCTATACCGATACTGGAATTTGATGCATTTTGTTTATGGTCGGCTTTCTTGACACGGACTGCATGCATATGAGCAAACGATGGGTAACATCGAGTGGTACTTATTATTGTATTATTTTGTGGGAACAAGATGATTTTGAGGGAACGAAACGATAATTCGAGGGAACGGAATTAAAAAAAATCTTCATTGTGCCTGTCCCCTTAGGGGCTCCTTAGGTACTCGTAGAGAGGGACATCGAATGCAACTGTGCGTTTTTGCAAGTTGGGTCACTCTCACTGTCCGACAGTAAANTGAAGTGTCAAAATACATCTCAGATTTGCAACAATCCACAAAACAGTCTCCCAGGAGTGTTCCTCGTCTCTCCATTACTGCTACAAGTTAAGAAACCAAAGGAACTCCGTTAAAATCCCAGCCTGAATGCCTGACAGTCACTGTGTGGCCGCCATGTTTAAATACAGGGTGCACTTTACCACAGCAAAAGCAGTGTAAAATCAACAAAGCCAAGCCCAAACTTGTGGAGTTTGTCATACGGAAATCTCGTTATCGTCTTTGCCGTCATTTCTCCATTTATTTTCAATTGTTGGATGGTAAGCCAGTGGTATTTCTCACCTTTAATCTCACCTCCTGTGAAGTCACATTTGAACAAACCCGCCAACTTAGCCACACATGCGTTCTTGTGCGTAGGCATTGTAATGTTAATGCTCGCGCCACCGTGGAAAACTGGTCGTCGATCAACTTGCGCACATATTGAGCAGGGTACCAAACAGGGGATCAAACAGCGCTGGTGATTGGCGCGCTTGAAATAGACCCTGTGAGTGTGCACAAGCACGACGAAGATGTGAAGATAATGCAATTATTATTTTTTTTTCGTAATGTAAATCAAAAGAATGACCACTATTGCAAAGAGAAAAAAAAAGCATCTCCCAAAACTGTTGCGAGTCAATTTGCATCAATATAAAAAAACATGTATTTTCTACCCCCAAAGCCTGGACAAACGCGACCGTCTGAGGCTTGGGTTTCCAGAGCTACGGCTAGGTCAATTGTCTACGCGTCTCCACGCATTTCCAATGGAGCGAAGACCTAGACCTAGCTCTTGACAAGAGATTCGGATGCAGCCGTAGTTCACATCTTGACCGCAACACACACCATGACGTCAAACAACAGTCAGTCGTAGAAAAGATGCTATACGAGACGTTATCTACCAAAAAATCATCAAAGTTACGTCCGAAATTCTGGGGATTCTAGCTAATTATACCTTTTTCAGGTTGCAATATAATGCTTCCTGAAGCAAAACCGATACTGGAATTTGATGCATTTTGTTTATGGTCGGCTTTCTTGACACGGACTGCATGCATATGAGCAAACGATGGGCAACATAGAGTGGTACTTATTATTATATTATTTCGTGTGAACGAGATGATTTTGAGGGAACGAAACGATAAATCGAAGGAACGGAATTAAAAAAAAATATTCATTGTGCCTGTCCCGTTAGGGGCTCCTTAGGTACTCGTAGAGAGGGACATCGAATGCAACTGTGCGTTTTTGCAAGTTGGGTCACACTCACTGTCCGACAGTAAATGCCCCCCCCCAAAAAAAAAAAATTCAAAATACATACAATGTAGGGCGGAAATAATGCCGCCCAGCGCTCTGAAGGAACGGGTTAGCCTTTCAACGGTTTTGTGTGTGTGGGGGGGGGGTTGTCGGATCATGTCGACATTCAAGACAATGACCAGAAGTGGTTTTCTTTTGAATAGGGGTTTGATATGCTACATTTTTAATCAGTCCTTTCCCAAAATTATTAAGCATACTTTTGCCCTATGCGGAATAACACGTGAATCGCTGGACTGCTGGGCAGCTTAAAGAGCATAACACTGCATGGGTAAATGAGTGGTAAAACAAAACCACTTTCTAAAACCGTTGGGCAAAAAGAGACAAGTCTACCTATAACAGAGCCTGAAAGTTGACCCTTGATGGTGCGCTTCCGGAACACTTTGGTAGGATAAATAACGAGCAAAGATGTTATAATTAGCTGTTTCGGCAACTCATGAAACAGGTATTGCTTTTCTGATTTTTTTAGCTGTTTTGGCAACAGCTGGAACAGCTCTTTCTTTTCTGATGATATTTTAGCTGTTTCAGCAACTTTGCCGAAACAGGTATTGTTTTTCTGATTATTTTGTTTTAGCTGCTTCGGCAACTTTGCCAAACAAATATTGTTTTTCTGATTTTTCTTTCTTTTTTTTTGAGCTAAACAGTATTGTTTTTCTGATTATTTTTTTTCTTTTTAGCAAGTTGCCGAAACAGGTATTGTTTTTCAGATTTTTTTTTGCTTTTTCAATTCAATTCCTTCCACCAGTCGACTTTGGCAGTTTACTAAATCGGATCGACTTTAAACTTGGCAGACCTTTGGACCATCATCCAAGGACGGTCCTAGAAGAATTTCACAATGATAACGTAAGTAGTTTATCTATTATTGATTTTTTAATAATTAATTTTTCCCCATAGACTTTGTACACAGATTGCACACAGTTTACAGACTGTCCTATATCAGGCTATGAGGGCGCTATTGCAGAATTACGGTTACACTTGCTTGGGCTTTCAATTTTCAACAAACTGTCCTATATTTAACCAAAGGGTTTCTACACACATTGTCCAGCATAATGCGTGAGCAGTCCTCAACTTTGACCGAGAATTACTACCAGAACGAAAAAGAAATCTGACAAAGTTTCCCTTCCGTTCGATCGCAAATATACCCAAGTGTGCAAATATTAAATAATATTTCATAAGTTTTTTCCAGTTTAGACAAAAATCACGTGACATGAAATTAAAGGAGCAGTTTTCCTGCACACGTGTTTCTAGCCCATTGCCTTTGTACACGTTTTGGAGCCACAATTTTGGTAACCTTGCAATGTTTGATCGTTCCAAAGTGATAGCCAACGAAGACCCTGATGCAAGATTTATTGCAAAGGGATGACGTCATAATGACTTCATCACCTTANGGTATAATTTTTCTGATTATTTTGTTTTAGCTGCTTCGGCAACTTTGCCGAAACAAATATTGTTTTTCTGATTTTTTTTCTCTTTTTCAACTCAATTCCTTTCACCAGTTGACTTTGGCAGTTTACTAAATCTGATCGACTTAAAACTTGGCAGACCTTTGGACCATCATCCAAGGACGGTCCTAGAAAAAATTCACAGTGATGACCTAAGTAGTTTATTTACTATAATAATTAATTTTTCCCCATACACTTTGTACACAGATCGCACGCAGTTTTTGGACTGTCCTATATCAGGCTATGAGGGCACTATTGCAGAATTACGGTTACACCTGCTTGGGCTTTCAATTTTCAACAAACTGTCCTATATGCTGAGCAGCATCGAAGGAATCTTTCAATCTGTCCTATATTTAACCATGGATGGCGTTGTTGCGCAACATAGGGTTTGTAACCTCAACTTTGACCGAGAATTACTACCAGAACGAAAAAGAAATCAGACCAAAGTTTCCCTTCCGTTCGATCGCAAATATACCCAAGTGTGCAAATATTAAATAATATTTCATAAGTTTTTTTTTTCCAGTTTAGACGTGACATGAAATTAAAGGAGCAGTTTTCCTGCACACGTGTTTCTAGGCCATTGACTTTGTACACGTTTTCGAGCCACAATTTTGGTAACTTTGCATTGTTTGATCGTTCCAAAGTGATAGCCAACGAAGACCCTGATGCAAGATGATTTATTGCAAAGGGATGACGTCATGATACTTAATCACCTTATTTTCTATTCATTTTTGAACATTAAATTTTTCCCCACAAATTTTTGTACACGTTTTTCTACTTAACACAAGTGAACAAGTAGTCTTTAACTTCGGCGCAAAATTACTATAAGAACAAAGGAGAAATCGGGTACTTTACGCTCTGCTATTTCATTTGAAATATGCCTAAGAGTCCGAATATGAAGTAATATTTCATTAGAATTTTTCAGTTGAAGTGCAAATCACGTGACATGAACTTAAAGGAGCAGTGTTTCCACAAATGAGTTTTTTGCCCTAGACTTTGTACACGTTTTCAAGGCACAATTTTAAAACCTTTCCGATGTTTGATGGTTATCAAAGTGACAGCCAACAAAGACCGTGGTACAAAAATTATTGTAAGTAAAGTACGTCATGATGACGTTATCATGTCATTTATTCGTGATTTTTCAATATTTATTTTAGCCCTTTGACTTTGTACACGTTTTCAAGCAAGCATTTGGGTTAGTTTGAGAGCTTTGATCAACTTCCAAGTTACAGCCATGAAAGACATTGATGAAAAAATACCTCAAAATTCATTACGTCGTGATGACGTCATCATGTGATTTATTATTAATTTTT